GGGGGGAGGGGAGGGAGTCAGGAGGCAACCCGAACGGGGGAGCTGAAGAATGCCATCTTTTCTTGGCGGGAGGAAGACTCATTGCTATATTGTTATGCCAACAAACGATAGCGGAGTTAATAATGTAATGTTTTCAAGAGAGGGTTTAACTGAGGCAGAACGTGAAAGAAAATAATCGGGAGCAAGAATTACTAGTAACAGGAAAAGATCGCGAAAGAGAGAAGGCGCGACGAGGTCTAGAGAAAGGAGGCGAAACAGTACTGAACAATGCCGTGAATCAGAGCAAGTCAGGGCTGAGAGAATGGAGATGAAACAATACTGAGCAATGCCGTGAGGCAGAGCTAGCGAGAGCTTGAGAAAGGAGGCGAAATGGCCGACAAATTGCCTCAGAAGACTTCAGAACTTCCCAAGTTTATTCGTGCGTCGAGATGTGAAGCCGTGCAAAGAAAGTCACATGATGTTTTCTGTGTTCAGAGAAACTACAGAACGCTAAATACAGTAGAAGAGATGGTTGATTCGTTGATCTATCGAAAAGATTAGTTCAGTTCAGTCTTCACTACTTTTGCTGCTCGGAAGACTTAACCAGTGGCCGAACTTGCGGTAAGCGACTGATCTATTGTTGTGGTGTTTTCAATTGCTTTCTATACAAATTATCAAGTTGCCTTATCTTGAATAGGTATTTTTTCAAAGTCTTCCTGACTTGAGGTCATGCTGCGAGACAGTTTTTAAATTACATCGTTTTAATTTCGCTCGTCGCTAATTATAAATAATAACACTTGAGTCGCTCTGTGCAAGTTGTTGTAAGTTGCATATTATAAACAAATTTCGCTAACCTCACGGACTAGAACCTCACGTCTAAAAATAATCAAACTGTAAGCTTATTTGTAAACACTGCAAGGCGAGTTTTGAATCTTTTTTTCACAGGCGCTCGCTTTATAGACTGCTAAAATTTCCTGTTCCGTAGATAGAAACCAAGAAGTGTCAATAAACCATTTTAAGCGGAAGCCAACAAAATTTGCTCGTTTGTGGTGATCTGCAAATTGTGTGTACAAAGTATGGAATTTCCTCGTTTTGTAAGTCAATTTATTCGGTTTGGTGAAATGCTTGGGGTTAAAGACTGGTAAAGCCACCGCCGATAAAATGACCGTAAAGCCGTCGGCAAAAATAATACTCAAATCTATGCTTAAGCGTGAATAATAATTAAACTTTAACACAGCAAGTTTTTAAACTTCTGGAGTGTCGTTTACAGGCTTCTAAATACATTTCTTGGCTTTACTTTGAATCTGTATCCTTTCGTGGATAATTTCGGTCATCCAGGTTTCATTAAAACGGGATTTGCTGTGTGATACTCAGATAAAGTGATATATGCATATTGTGTTTGTTAAGATTTCCTCTTGTCCAGTTAATTCGGTTCGGTGAAATGCTTAGTTAAAATGCCGAGATTATGCATGTAAACCCTGTCTGCACATGAAGCTCTACTTTGATTTCGATTTTCTATTTGATTTGGTCGAGGGCACATGGCCCCTATTTTCCCTTTGAGAGGTTTTTGGGATTTACATGTCTGGCTTTGGTGTATGTACAATGAGGTATTTTTTTACAAAGGGCTATATTCAGTAATGAACAATGTGAATTAAAATATCATTTAATATATGCTTATAAAAACGTTCGGGTGAAGAAATCCTCACCCTGTCCATTTCTCTGTAATAAAAATATCATTTACATACATATAAAAAATTTTGTTGGTGACAGCGCTCTCCTTTCTCTCTATCTCTCTGCTCTCTGTCTCTCTGTCTCTCTGTCTCTCTGTCTCTCTGTCTCTGTCTCTGTCTCTGTCTCTCCGTCTCTGTCTCCGTCTCTGTCTCTGTCTCTCTGTCTCTCTAACTGTCTGTCTCTCTCTCTCTGTCTCTCTCTCTCTGTCTCTCTCTGTCTCTCTCTCTGTCTCTCTGTCTCTGTCTCTCTGTCTCTCTCTCTCTGTCTCTCTGTCTCTCTGTCTCTCTCTGTCTCTCTGTCTCTCTCTCTCTTCCCCCTCTTCTTTGCCCTAATAGTTTCATTAACTTTTTGTTTAACCGAAAATGATGTCTTTACAGGAAAATCTCAAACCGAGACCCTACAGTATTGATCGAACGACAGCAAGGTCGATATGGCAAGGCAGAGGTTTGAGATTTTCCCGTAAAGAACGAACGTTCCAGGTTAATAAGTAGTCGATTATATGGCCTAAAAACCAAAATCAAAACAAAAAAGCCATCTGTTAATTGAAGCAGTTATCTGGCCATGCATTCATCGTTACCGAATGCACAAAACAGTTGAACTAATACATATTAAAAGAATTCTACATTCTCCTTGTTTATCGACGACAAACAAC